CTTGAGGCTAGGCTACGTGGCTGCTTGTTATTTACAGCTTGAGGCTAGGCTACGTGGCTGCTTGTTATTTACAGCTTGAGGCTAGGCTACGTGGCTGCTTGTTATTTACAGCTTGAGGCTAGGCTACGTGGCTGCTTGTTACTTACAGCTTGAGGCTAGGCTACGTGGCTGCTTGTTATTTACAGCGTGAGGCTAGGCTACGTGGCTGCTTGTTATTTACAGCTTGAGGCTAGGCTACGTGGCTGCTTGTTATTTACAGCGTGAGGCTAGGCTACGTGGCTGCTTGTTATTTACAGCGTGAGGCTAGGCTCCGTGGCTGCTTGTTATTTACAGCTTGAGGCTAGGCTACGTGGCTGCTTGTTATTTACAGCGTGAGGCTAGGCTACGTGGCTGCTTGTTATTTACAGCTTGAGGCTAGGCTACGTGGCTGCTTGTTATTTACAGCGTGAGGCTAGGCTACGTGGCTGCTTGTTATTTACAGCGTGAGGCTAGGCTCCGTGGCTGCTTGTTATTTACAGCTTGAGGCTAGGCTACGTGGCTGCTTGTTATTTACAGCGTGAGGCTAGGCTACGTGGCTGCTTGTTATTTACAGCGTGAGGCTAGGCTCCGTGGCTGCTTGTTATTTACAGCTTGAGGCTAGGCTCCGTGGCTGCTTGTTATTTACAGCTTGAGGCTAGGCTCCGTGGCTGCTTGTTATTTACAGCTTGAGGCTAGGCTACGTGGCTGCTTGTTATTTACAGCTTGAGGCTAGGCTCCGTGGCTGCTTGTTATTTACAGCTTGAGGCTAGGCTACGTGGCTGCTTGTTATTTACAGCTTGAGGCTAGGCTCCGTGGCTGCTTGTTACTTACAGCTTGAGGCTAGGCAACGTGGCTGCTTGTTATTTACAGCTTGAGGCTAGGCTACGTGGCTGCTTGTTATTTACAGCTTGAGGCTAGGCTCCGTGGCTGCTTGTTATTTACAGCTTGAGGCTAGGCTACGTGGCTGCTTGTTATTTACAGCTTGAGGCTAGGCTCCGTGGCTGCTTGTTATTTACAGCTTGAGGCTAGGCTACGTGGCTGCTTGTTATTTACAGCTTGAGGCTAGGCTCCGTGGCTGCTTGTTATTTACAGCTTGAGGCTAGGCTACGTGGCTGCTTGTTATTTACAGCTTGAGGCTAGGCTCCGTGGCTGCTTGTTATTTACAGCTTGAGGCTAGGCTACGTGGCTGCTTGTTACTTACAGCTTGAGGCTAGGCTACGTGGCTGCTTGTTATTTACAGCTTGAGGCTAGGCTCCGTGGCTGCTTGTTATTTACAGCTTGAGGCTAGGCTACGTGGCTGCTTGTTATTTACAGCTTGAGGCTAGGCTCCGTGGCTGCTTGTTATTTACAGCTTGAGGCTAGGCTCCGTGGCTGCTCGTTATTTACAGCTTGAGGCTAGGCTACGTGGCTGCTTGTTACTTACAGCTTGAGGCTAGGCTACGTGGCTGCTTGTTACTTACAGCTTGAGGCTAGGCTACGTGGCTGCTTGTTACTTACAGCTTGAGGCTAGGCTACGTAGACCACGAGGTGCATCAGCGGCGAAAATAGCCAACCAGTCATCCAAAAATGATAGTGCTTGGAGCATCTATTTGTAGAACGGACAAATATTGGCTGTTGCGCCAAAAAAATGTTTTGTGCAATTCATTTTGTAGAGGGCGCAAGAAAGAAGGCAGCAAGCAAACCCAAACATTTTATACAGTATACCACAAATGTACTAAATTAGGCCTAGGATATCGAAATGTATATTAAGCCTAAGATTGGGTCAAGCTGTATTTTTTCATTTTTTTAGCATGCCATTTTGGAGTACAAAACGATCAATCATCATCTTGTTCATCTTGGAGCATCATCTTGTTTGGGTACAAACCATTTTTGTGCGTTAACCAAAAGTTGCTATAAGTACTATAATTTTTGGCGGATGGGTTGCCGCCAAACATACACCGAAACTACGACGTTGGTACAACGTTCAAAGAAGTTTTAACACCTAACTAGTTATAACAACCAATATAGCAAGTTGTAACAACGCTCTAATACGTCATAAGCACGTTAAGCCAAGATGTAACAACTTTATTACAAGTTGTAACAAGCGGAAAATAGAGACAGTTTCGGTTTGTGTTTCCAGGGAATTGAGACTTGCACCCATATGCCTTGAACCTGCATTACATATGAAACCCAGACTTTGTGTATTGCATGATATCTGGAAGCAAGTGTCGTATGCTCTCAACGCCATTCGGGAGGGAAGAGGTCTTTGCTTCACACACAGCTTCCGCATTAAAACATTTCAGCAAGATGAAGATCTAAGGTGCCTGGTGTGGGAAGCGCCCGGCAGTCAGCTTGCCTCAAGTGATGGGAACATTATCACACACAGCTCTGCCAGCCATGACGCTTCCACACTACCGTCTTGTCTAAAGAATGCACCTGCATGTTTCCATCGGCTTTGTCATGCCTCTTGCCACGCAAACACCTTCAAAACGTTACCTTCAATTTGCGCCTCTTGTCTAAACTTTACAATTACCACGTTCATGTCACTGTTTTCCTTCACACAGCTGGCTTCACACTGGCTTTCCTTCACACAGCTGGCTTTTTAATGGCATTTGATTGTATACCTGTTTCCGCATGTCTCTAGTATCAGCCATTGGTACTGGTAATGGCTCGAAAGAGCCTCCACTTACGGGCTATTCATGCCCGTGCCTTTTAGGTGGCTTAATCTTCATCAATCATTAATCAATCGTATACCTGTTCTATGGCACGGGAGACATCTCCCGTCACGCAGGGTGCAGTTGCACCTCCACAGATCTCCAGTATCATCTATTGATACTGGTGATGGCTCAAAAGGACCACCACTTACGGGCTATTCATGCCCGTGCCACCTTTTGGGTGGCTTAATCTTCATCAATCAATCTATTCTATGGGTACGAACTTGCGGTGCTGCTGTGGGGTGTGATCTAGTGGGGTCGACTGAACGACTCCTGTGGGGTCGATCAATTCCATATCAACCGTGGCTCTGGCTAGCCACGGTTGACCTGGAATTGATCGACGAAGATTAAGCCACCCGAGAGGTGGCACGGGTATGAGTAGCTCGTAAGGTTGACTTAAGGTCAATCTGGTCGCCTCTGCTCTTGGCAGCAGCGGACATTGGTATTACCGCCACCAGGTCACTGACATAACATTAAGAGCACTGAGCCGTGAATCATTCTCAGGAGGGGAGGGGGGGGGGGTTCCAGGAGGAAGGGGGGGGGGTTATCACGTGGGGGGGGGGAAGGGGGGTAGGGAGTCATCAGGTGTGGGGGGATGGGGAGTCATCAGGTGTGAGGGGGGGATGAGGAGGCATCAGGTGTGGGGGGGGATGAGGAGGCATCAGGTGTGGGGGGGGGATGAGGAGGTATCAGGTGTGGGGGGGATGAGGAGGCATCAGGTGTGGGGGGGGATGAGGAGGCATCAGGTGTGGGGGGGGATGAGGAGGCATCAGGTGTGGGGGGGGATGAGGAGGCATCAGGTGTGGGGGGGGATGAGGAGGCATCAGGTGTGGGGGGGGATGAGGAGGCATCAGGTGTGGGGGGGGATGAGGAGGCATCAGGTGTGGGGGGGATGAGGAGGTATCAGGTGTGGGGGGGATGAGGAGGCATCAGCTGAAGAAGAAGGAAGAACAAGGTGAAGGGGGGGGGGGATGGGTGAGGCATCAGGTCAAGGCTCGGTGGAGGGGTGGGGAGTAAAATACCTCACTCGGTCTCTGATCGAAAAGGAGGTTACAAAAAATAATTCGTGTAGAATAGCCCCGGGCGACATGCACCGCTATCTGTCCCCACACCACCACCACCTAACCCACCCTTGTGGGTGGGTTAGGAGTCCCAGTACCCAGGGGTGGTGTGGGTGTTGGACTACTTCCCACACATCCGCCACCCTTGTGGGCGGGTCTCGAGCCCCAGTACTGCTGCTCCTCGTCCAAGGAGACTTTTGGAGGCACCGTTGCATTAACAGCTGTATTAACCAGCTGCATTAACACGCGATGGGCTCTCAGTCATGTACCTTCGAATTAGTCACTAACTGTACACTGTTTGAGACAATGACTGGATCAGTGAGGCTAGCGGTTGGCCCGTGAGATCACTAGTCTTCCGCTACAGACCAAGCGCAGCCTCGCCTTACATTAGGCAGCTTCTGCTGGCAGTCAACTCAACAATTATCGCACCCAACTGGGCTGCTTTTAATGAAACTAATTATATATTTAATTTTCAAATTCTCAAATTGATACGACCACCCTTGAGCCAAATCTATTGTGACCCCTTGGAACACCGCCCTAGTCCCATGTACCCAGGGTATTGTGGCTCGATTGGTCTACGTGGACATACGCACAATATTTAAACATACCGTACGTACTAACGATGTTTGAAAAATGCAATATACTTTCATATTCTGAAGAGTACAAACTATTTTACAATAATGTTTCATTCAACAAGCAGTCATGTACAAGCAAACAGTTGCTAACCACTCTGCAATACGGTTATTACTACGGCTAAATGTTATTGAAGGACTGTGTGTGTTGCTAATGTTCTAGACTGACAATAGGAGATTCAGGGTTCGATTCCGCCCTAATGGTTGGGCATATTTCCTTCCACCTAATGCCTTCGTTCACTTAACAGTAAGTAGCGTACGGGCATATGTATATATAACATATTATATATGGCAGAGTGGGATAGTTCAGTTGTGGGCTGATGTGGTTGATGCGACCTAGGTTCGTTTCATCGAGTTATTAGAGTATTACTAACACACCCAAACACACACAGCAAGCACAACTAGGCAAGTTCAAACACACGAGTGAATTAGGTTTGTAAAGAGTAGGAACTGCCTTGCATGGGCCAATAGGCCTGCAGTTTCATTCTTACGTCGAGACCTGAAAATATGATTAAGCTTCGACCAGTCCTGGACTTCATAATAGTCAAGACACACTGGGAATAAAAAATAAAGAACAGAAAAAGTCCAACACTCACCATTCGTCGCCATCACTGCCAGAACCTCCCCGCCTCGAGCCTCCAGGGAGATACCGTCCAGTAGGTGCGTTCGTCCCCCACTCCCACGGGTCTCGTAAACCAGCCCACGCACCTGCAGGTGGGGTCCCTTGGGACCCATGCCTCCCTCCTCCGGCCAGGGGTTGTCACGAGGGAAGAGCTTGTCGTTGAGCATGGGCGGGTCCCTGTACCCTGTGCCGTCCGGGGGCTGTTTAGGGCCAGGAGAGTAGTGAGAGTGAGTATTGTAGCCATGCTTGCGCTGGTTGGTGGGGTAGTTGCGGCTGGTGGTATGGTTGTGGGTGGTGGAAGGGTTGTGGCTTGGGGTAGCATTATAGGTGTAAGACGAGAGGTGTGAGGTTGGTGCCAGTGTGGTGGTTGTGAGGCGGTTGACTGTAGGATACTGTGGTGTGAGTGGGTTAGGTGAAGGCGGGGCGGGCGAAAGCCTCGGGTTCTTAATGTTGTGGAGGGGGTACTGTGTGGTGTTGTGGAGGGGGTACTGTGTGGTGTTGTGGAGGGGGTATGACGAGGTATGGTTGGGGGAGGCGTAGGAAAAACGCGAGTAACCAAAGGTCTTATGAGTGGGAGGGGAGGGCCCAGGTGAGGGCTTATTTAATGTGGCTAATAGGGGGCGGTTGGGTAGGTGGCAGGGGGAGTTAGAAGTGTCATAGGAGGGAGGAACGCCGTTAGCGAAGGAACGAGGGCTGAAATTGTTAAGGCGAATGTACTCCATTGTTATTCAGACAGCCAAGACGCGTTACCCGTCCAATATTCCCGTACACTGTCTGGGGTCTGTGGGGCACCTCTAGCAAGCTACCTCCTCTTCACACATCACAACACATCCGTTCACCGTCATCAATCCGGATATCAATTATTGTAATCACATGGCACTAATTATCCACTACATTCATCAGCGCTGTGACAATTTTCCTGCGCACTATTTGGCTAATAGTTATCGCCTTAAGTAATTACATAGGTGACGTTTCACAACCTAGGATCGTTAAACACGAGATTATAACGTGATGCTGATAGGAGACACTTGTCGACCACCAGGGACGTGGTCCAGACAGGAGACACTTGTCGACCACCAGGGGCGTGGTCCAGACAGGAGACACTTGTCGACCACCAGGGGCGTGGTGCTGACAGGAGACACTTGTCGACCACCAGGGACGTGGTCCAGACAGGAGACACTTGTCGACCACCAGGGACGTGGTCCAGACAGGAGACACTTGTCGACCACCAGGGGCGTGGTCCAGACAGGAGACACTTGTCGACCACCAGGGGCGTGGTCCAGACAGGAGACACTTGTCGACCACCAGGGGCGTGGTCCAGACAGGAGACACTTGTCGACCACCAGGGGCGTGGTGCTGACAGGAGACACTTGTCGACCACCAGGGGCGTGGTGCTGACAGGAGACACTTGTCGACCACCAGGGGCGTGGTGCTGACAGGAGACACTTGTCGACCACCAGGGGCGTGGTGCTGACAGGAGACACTTGTCGACCACCAGGGGCGTGGTGCTGACAGGAGACACTTGTCGACCACCAGGGGCGTGGTGCTGACAGGAGACACTTGTCGACCACCAGGGGCGTGGTGCTGACAGGAGACACTTGTCGACCACCAGGGGCGTGGTCCAGACAGGAGACACTTGTCGACCACCAGGGGCGTGACTTTGATTTAGACACCTATCAATGGCGCTGACTGGAGAGGAAACGTTACAACCTCCCCCGTCAACCACACGGCGCACACTGACGTTCTTCCCTCACCTTGCCCGAGCCGACCACAACACACCGCTCGCCCGCCCTTAAACACACACACGCACGTTATAGCCAGTCCATTTTGTTCTCACAATACTACCTCAAAACCGTTCATTATTTCCAGGGTGGGGGGCTGATGGCAACACCAGGATGTTAGCGTGCTATAAGAAACATTTTCCTGTTCTAAAATATTGAACAAAATGTAGTCACAGACAAATGAATTGGATCTGCAAGAATATTGGGAAATTTTCGAATCTACTCCCCAGTTTGTGACGACTTATATTGAATTTTGTAACTAGCTCATCAAGATTGTAACTTGCTTAGCTAAATGAATTGTGGGGTTCAGTCCCTGAGCCCATTGTGTGCCTCTGTAACCCTTTCCACTACCGCCCACAAGATGGGTATGGGGTGCATAATAAATGAACTAAATAAACTACTCCCCAGTTAACTAATCTATTTTTGTGTTTCACTGGAGAGACTTGTTATAACAAGTGAGGCTTCTTGCGTCTACACAATATAACAAGTGAGGCTTCTTGCGTCTGCCCAATATAACAAGTGAGGCTTCTTGCGTCTGCCCAATATAACAAGTGAGGCTTCTTGCATCTTCACAATATAACAAGTGAGGCTTCTTGCGTCTACACAATATAACAAGTGAGGCTTCTTGCGTCTGCCCAATATAACAAGTGAGGCTTCTTGCGTCTACACGATATAACAAGTGAGGCTTCTTGCGTCTACACGATATAACAAGGGAGACTACTTGTGTCTACACACAATATAACAAGTGAGGCTTCTTGCGTCTACACGATATAACAAGTGAGGCTTCTTGCGTCTGCCCAATATAACAAGTGAGGCTTCTTGCGTCTGCCCAATATAACAAGTGAGGCTTCTTGCGTCTGCCCAATATAACAAGTGAGGCTTCTTGCGTCTACACGATATAACAAGTGAGGCTTCTTGCGTCTGCCCAATATAACAAGTGAGGCTTCTTGCGTCTGCCCAATATAACAAGTGAGGCTTCTTGCATCTTCACAATATAACAAGTGAGGCTTCTTGCGTCTACACAATATAACAAGTGAGGCTTCTTGCGTCTACACAATATAACAAGTGAGGCTTCTTGCGTCTGCCCAATATAACAAGTGAGGCTTCTTGCGTCTACACGATATAACAAGCGTACCCTAGATTAACCATGTAATGTAACTATATAACCTGAGCTTGTAAAAGCATCTTAATCACCTTAAGTTCTTAATTGCACACTAGTTTCTCTGTCAGCTATCTCACCCTGTCAGAGTAAGAGACAAATATATGTGTGTGTGTATATAAAGCTGATCAGAATTACATTTCACCGTTATAAATTCACATTAATGCATTCATAAATCTGTGTATCTATGTATTTACGTATGTAGCTTAGCCTAACATTTTAAAAGCACTACGATCACCTTCTGTGGTTGTCCAATAAATCTCTGAACTGTATGTTTGACAAATCTCTCACCCTGTCCATGGAGGACAGAAGAAAATGTATATATGCTAGTTAGCATTATAAATGTGTGGCCACGTCTGTGGTAGAAAATAATAATAAAAATAAAATATAACAAGTGAGGCTTCTTGCGTCTACACAATATAACAAGTGAGACTTATACCAATACCATAATAAGCTTAGACTGACGTCATAATGAATGACAGTCAAAACGCAAAATAGACCACCATAACTAAATGAAGCCTATATAGACCAGGTCACAGAACGAAAGGCTTAAATACCCTAACAAGCAAGCTTCGAGTCAGTTTCCCACGGCTCACCCGTGGGAAATCGTACATCGTACTAGACATGTAATGTATATACCTGGTTAAATATGGCGCCGTGTTGTCGAGATCGGCGGGAGTGTCGAGACAACAGAGACATGTGGGACCCGCCCAGCTTGCTAGCGGCACCTCGCTCGCCAACATATCGGCCCGGCCGGCCGTAGACGTCCGATGACAGCAAGTTGGCCTCGCTGGAGCTCTGCCATAGAGAAGTTGTTAGAAATGTTGTCTCCTATTTTGCTCGCTCCCTCCATCCCTCCTCTCACCGACACATTCCTGTAATCTATGTAGTTGTGATGATTATATGGACAAAACAATGTATGTAGGATAGTGTTGACAATATGGACCCTACAATCTATGTAATGATGCCTATATGGACAATTTTTACCTAGAATATCTATTATTTCAATAGATTATCTATTTTAAAAAATGGTCAATTGTATTTCAAGAACAGCGTACAACTTTTCTAATTTAGCAATTATATAATCATCCAAAGTAGTCAAGCACACAAGAATAGGTATACAGAAGCAACAAATATTCCCAGTTCTAGTCTGGTTAGTGACGTTCAGTTCAACAATGCAATGAAAACAAGTTCACGATACATGACGCTTACCAATATGAGGTTTTAATTTGCAATTTTGAACTCAGTTGCCTTACGTTTACAGTGTGACGCAGCAGTTAGCACAGTGTGACGGTTAGCTCACAGCCCATTGGGTTAGTGTTCGATTCTCAGTTAGGCAACTGTTGTGGATTGTATCCTTCTTAGGCCAGCAGTTGGCCTAAGAAGACCTGGATAAGCTTAGCAGCTTTCTTGTCCCCCGTCAACGGGTAAGGAAACAGTCGATAGGCATCAAACCCAAAGAACAGCCGCACTCCTGTGTTAAGCGGCCCAGGGAAGGACAGCGGAGGCGGCGGGAAGAGCAACCTGTCCTTCTACAATGAAGGTCGCCTTTCGCTCGTATGCCTTACACAAGGCCAAAAATGATCGATGCCAGAAGGGGATGTAAGGGGCACACATGGATCCCTCGGGTCAACAGGCACATATGGATCCCTCGGGTCAACAGGCACACATGGATCCCTCGGGTCAACAGGCACACATGGATCCCTCGGGTCAACAGTAGCAAGGCGTATGACAAGCCTAAACAGACCACCGGGAAAAGCCAGGAAGCAGCGAAAAGCTAGCAGACTAAACGCTTAACTAATACATAGGAAAATAAAAACCTTAAAGGCCCCCCCATCCTCAAAAAAACTAGACTAGGCAAGCGGAAGACAGAAATGAGAAAATCCCGCAGAAAATGTTGAACACAGGAAACAAAGCCCACAAGGTCCGGGAGAAACGCAACACCTCCCAGGAGGGGACCACAAAGGAACCGCAACAGGTGAAGCTGGCGAGCAAACACCGCCATCAGAAAGATAATAACCGAAGCCAGGGCCCGGACCCCAACATCCGCCAACGAAACTGTCTAGTGTGGTAAAGAATACGCTCGAGCCACCCAACTAACACAACGGAACATGGGGTAAAATCCATACGGGCCCCATCAGAAACCGGGATACACACCCGGTGGGCCTAGTTATTCCAGAAACCAAGGAACTGCCCTGACCCCCTCCCTTCACATGGAGGCTTGAGGTACTACCCTCAAGCTTTTTGATACTCTGGGAAACCTGTCAGCAGGCTAATGAGTCCTATGGAGACTCAGACACTTGCAGTTGATCTGGAGAATACCACTTGAGGCCCGAGGAACACTCCCAGGAGAGCGGGACATACTTCCAGGAGAGCGGGGCACTCCTTCTGGACGAACTGGGCACTCAACCAAGGCACTCATCTTGAAGGTCCATCAAGCCAACAGGCATAACAGCGGTCAATGACGAAGCCTCAGCTCCAAGAGAGGACCAAGCGCCCCACAACCACCATCTAAGACTACAGCCACCGAAGAGGCTAGAATATAACGAATGAGCAAAACCACATCTCCTAACCCCGAGGATGAACCGCCCAAACAGAGCTCCTGCAGGAGGTATACAAAAACGTGGACCCCGAGGAATGCTCCTGACAGCAAAGTGGGTAAGGCACACTTCGTGACCCAACAAGCTGACACACGAGATAAACATCCCTCCCTGACGCACAGGCTGTCAACACTGACCCGACTGATGCAGGAATTGACAGGCGCCAGGCGAGGCGTAGATGGGTACCACACACCAAAATCCGTCATACAGAGACGGGAGAGAGCGCGAGGAGCCACGGAACCAACAGTGATAATACGTATGTCAAAGTGCGGACCAATGAGAATGCAAGATAAGAGTACCCAGTTCCCACGCCAGTGTAACACCTCGCCTCTCTTCACCTTACACTTAATATTAAACTCAATATATTATATATACAATACAATACACTTAATACACTCAATACACTAATACACTTAATACACTCAATATTAAATCAACCAGGTATCAACCAGGTAATATTATAGTCATCTCCGCCAATTTTACCTCTGCTTCAGAACATGTTGAAGGTGAAAAGCTCTCCTTAGCAACGCGTTAGGCCCATTTATATTGTAATATTAACGTGGAAGAGTGAACTTTTCAACGTCTTTCCAAACTGAAGAACATAGGAAAGATAGAAAAAGATCTGTGCTAGAATCAATAATCTAACCTTTTTGGTCACATATAATACCAGTCCACTTTCCGCAGGTTGACTGTTTTCTCGGGCAGTGATTTCTATATATTTCTTTACTAAGCAAAATTAATCTGGATAGGTTTACATATATTTGACTCTAATGTTTTCTGGACGAATAACCTTGCCGTGGAGATAGAGAAATAAAATAATCAAATGACTCTAAAATACTGTTACTTCTGCAAGCCGTTATTCATATTGCTGGTGAGAGCTTGCTCTTTCCTGCCCTGTTAGCGTGTCTCCACACCAGTGAAATATTATTATCCCTGCCTCCTTCCCCCCACACTGGCGGTGTGGGTGGTGCCCCCAGTGTCCCTCACCTTGGTCCTCGAGTCCCTGGCTGAGGTGGGTGGGTTCCAGTCTCTGGCCGCCAGCAGGTCAGGGTTACTTTTGCTTCTCGTGTACCTGTCTCCCCTCCCGATGGGCGAGGCTTCCCCTTCTCTACCCCTCTCTCTTCCTCCGCCCCCGCCGCCGCCGCCACCACCTCCTCCATCGTCGCTGGAGTCATAGCCACTACTGCCGTCTCTCCCCGCCAGCGTCGGGGGGAACACCCGAGGAAGCCCGAACTTGAGGTAGGTAAACATATTGGAGCCCAGTTCGCTCTTGGGGCCGTACCTGCAACACATACGAAGATTATATATAATATGCTGGCGACGAGTCACAATAACGGTGGCTGAAGTATGTTGACCAGACCACACACTAGAAAGTGAAGGGACGACGACGTTTCGGTCCGTCCTGGACCATTCTCAAGTCAGATTTGACTTGAGAATGGTCCAGGACGGACCGAAACGTCGTCATCCCTTCACATTCTAGTGTGTGGTTTGGTCAACATTATATATAATATACTGTCGCAAACCTTCAAGCCTTAGTTACAACACTGCATAAAGGACTTCCATGTCACCAAAATGTGACCAAGAGCCAAGTATAGTTCTAATCTACTGTCACTCACGACATACTTCTAAGATAGATGTGGAGGCGTGTACACTGACCTGTTCCGGTACACTGACCTGGAGTCGTGTTCCGGTACACTGACCTGGGGTCGTGTTCCGGTACACTGACCTGGGGTCGTGTTCCAGTACACTGACCTGGGATTATTGAGGATGGTGTGGACCGTGGACTCGCGGAGCTGGAAGTTACCGTAGGGAAGCGTAGCTTTCTCTTGCGAGCCGAGGGCCGAGTCCGTGAAGTCAGAGTTGAGGTTCTGCCGGTAGATGGACCAGGCGTGCAGGTCCATCTTGGCCGAGGCTGACGTTGGACCCCCTCCTGTGGGCACACACAGAGGACTCCACGTAAGGCAGAGAGGTGAGGGAGGGAGACGGGTGAGGGAGAGAGACGGGTGAGGGAGAGAGACGGGTGAGGGAGAGAGACGGGTGAGGGAGGTAGACGGGTGAGGGAGAGAGACGGGTGAGGGAGGTAGACGGGCGAGGGAGAGAGACGGGTGAGGGAGGAAGACGGGTGAGGGCTCGAGAAACGGTATGTGAGGTTTGGGGGATAGGAAACGTTGATGTTATGAAGGGGGGAGTGAGAGACATGGCAGGAAGTAAAGGGTGAGAGAGATGAGAGAGGGTCAAGTGAAATGCTCAAAATTGTCTACTACGGTTGCCATGTCAACACTCGGAGCCCACAGTTGCCATTACAATTTATACATTCGTTATTACTAGTACACATGTGTATGTATGTATACATTCATTATTACTAGTACACGTGTATGTATACATTCATTATTACTAGTACACATGTGTATGTATGTATACATTCATTATTACTAGTACACGTGTGTATGTATACATTCATTATTACTAGTACACGTGTGTATGTATAAATTCATTATTACTCTTACGTGTATGTGTAATAATGCATGTGCTGGGGCCAGCACATGCGTGTGTGTATAGATTACGCATATACATATGAACATGTGTGTGTTTATGTATGAATACTGTTGTATGACAGTGTTTCCTATGTATGAATGACAAGACTTACGCTCGCGGGGCCGTCTTCACTACTTTTATACCTATAAAATAGAATGTTTGTAACTAGGCCAGACATCTGGGGCCAGCGTCAACCAACTTTGCAGGGTGACTGGTGAGGGACAGGCGACCAACATGGGCGGGGCGTGGTCTGCCTCTCCCCCCCCCCACCCCCAATTGCTCCCATTAAAATGAGGTCAACTTCCATTGGGACCACCTCGACTCCTAACGAAATCTAACTGCTGTTTCTGTTTTCCAGAGTTTTTAATTTTTATTTTTGTTTTTAATTTCTCATAGTGCCCAGAGGACCAGACACGGGGTCGACCAATATAAATTTCCAGTGTTTAGACATTCTACTTTATTATTATTAACATCTTTATTGACAAAATTAATTACAATTTTGCCTAATCTGAGGATTTTGATAGTCTTATTAAATTGAGGTTAATGCTAGTATTCACTGTCACGCAGGACAGAGGGTCATACATAAGACAATAGGTAGATTCTACGAGTTCATTCTTGGGGCCAGATTCACAAAGGAGTTACGCAAGCACTTACGAACGTGTACATCTTTTCTCAATCTTTGGCGGCTTTGTTTACAATAATTAGACAGTCAATGAGCGCCGAAGCACCAGGAGGCTGTTTATAACAATAACAACAGTTGATTGGCAAGTTTTCATGCTTGTAAACTGTTTAATAAATGTAAGCAAAGCCGCCAAAGATTGAGGAAAGATGTACATGTTCGTAAGTACAAGCTTAACTGCTTCGTGAATCTGGCCCTTAGTCTTTAAGTTGACTTCTATCTTTAAGTAAAATCATGATTTGAAAGTTCATTCTTGCTTGAAAGTTCATTCATTCGACCGGGAGCCGGTCGAATGAGCGGACAGCACACTGGACTTGTGATCCTGAGGTCCCGGGTTCGATACCGGGCGCCGGCGAGAAAGAATGGGCAGAGTTTCTTTCACCCTATGCCCCTGTTACCTAGCAATAAAACAGGTACCTGGGAGTTAGACAGCTGCTACGGGCTGCTTCCTGGGGATTGTGTAACAAAAAAGACGCTAAGCCCCGAAATCATCTCAAGATAGGCAACTGTTGTGGGTTGCATCTTGGGCAAGGTCAGTAGTTGACCTGGGGGGGGGGGAAGGGAAGGGAATTATCAGGGGGAAAGCGCCAAGCCATCACAACTATATAGCACTTAGAAGGGGTCAGGATAAGGATTTGGGATGGGACGGGGGAAAGGAATGGTGCCCAACAACTTGGACGGTCGGGGATTGAACCTGCATGAAACGAGACTGTCGCTTTACCGTCCAACCGGGGGGAGGAAGAGACCTCGATACAAGCCAAGGTACAGGCTTCTTGTCCCCAAATTAGTCTACTTGTCTTGTTGTCACTGGTGCTTCAGTATCATTCACCATCATCTTGAGGTTATCTTGAGGTTATCTTGAGATGATTTCGGTGCTTTAGTCCCCGCGGCCCGGTCCTCGACCAGGCCTCCTTTTTGTTACACCCCCCCAGGAAACAGCAATTAAGTAGCCGCTGTCTAACTACCAGGTACCTATTTAATGCTAGGTAACAGGGGCATCAGAGTGAAAGAAACATTTTGCCTATTTGTCTCGGCCTCCACCGGGGATCGAACCCGGAACCTCAGGACTACGAATCCGAAGCGCTGTCCACCCAGCTGTCAGGCCATGTTCTTATTCTACTTCTTGATTGGTTTTCAAAGAAACAATCTTGCTTATTTTCTCATCTGTTATGATCTTTTAAATAGCTAAACACACACACACACACACACACACACGCACGCACACACACACACACACACACACACACACACACACACACACACGCACGCACACACACACACACACACACACACACACACACACACACACACACAGGGGGCCTCGTAGCCTGGTGGATAGCGCGCAGGACTCGTAATTCTGTGGCGCGGGTTCGATTCCCGCACGAGGAAGAAACAAATAGGCAAAGTTTCTTTCACCCTAAGTGCCCCTGTTACCTAGCAGTAAATAGGTACCTGGGAGTTAGTCAGCTGTCACGGGCTGCTTCCTGGGGTGTGTGTGTGTGTGTGTGGTGTGGAGAAAAAAAAAAAAGTAGTAAACAGTTGATTGACAGTTGAGAGGCGGGCCGAAAGAGCAAAGCTCAACCCCCGCAAAAACACAACTAGTAAACACACACACACACACACACACACACACACACACACACACACACACACACACACACACACACACACACACACACACACACACACACACGTCATTCAGCCCATCCTCCTGAATAGATAAGGACCATCGTATATGTATACCCACTTACAACGACATTTAGAAAGTAGAAATCGGCACTATTGAGTTAGGCAAACCGGAAAACAATTTTTTGTACTTGAGTTGCAAAGACCAACTAAACTAGCCTTCCTAGGCCTAGTAAACGATATCCGAGGCCTAATATAATTTGTGTGCTCTGCTAGGCTTAGGAATACGTGTGTGGGCGTCACCTGGTGGGCGTGCGGGCGGCAGTAGGCGGGGCTCGGAGATGGTGGATGGAGGGATGGAATACCGTCGCTCCATCGTGTTCAATTCCCACAGCTCACTCATCCTGAGGGAGACACCAGCACTCTTAGTGAACAAAATTGACATGTTATCATAAGTTATCATTGTACACGTCGAACTGGTAGGTAGAAATTATGTTTAATGATAAAGTTAATAATGATTTTGGCTAATTTAATTTTTTGGTCTCGACTAGTGGAAGGATCAGAATTGTGCTGTAGTCCCCCCGTAAAGAAAACGTAATATAAAGATCCAGCGTTAGAACAGAGAAAATGGTTTAGCTATGGTATACTTGGCTAAATTTACTAGCTGGGCGTGAAGTGTGTGCGCTAATTGACAAACAAAAATATATATTTTAGACTAAATATAATAGCCTTTGCGTCAAGCACCAGGCTGGCCTGTGCCAAGCACCAGGCTGGCCTGTGCCAAGCACCAGGCTGGCCTGTGCCAAGCACCAGGCTGGCCTGTGCCAAGCACCAGGCTGGCCTGTGCCAAGCACCAGGCTGGCCTGTGCCAAGCACCAGGCTGCCCTGTGCCAAGCACCAGGCTGGCCTGTGCCAAGCACCAGGCTGGCCTGTGCCAAGCACCAGGCTGGCCTGTGCCAAGCACCAGGCTGGCCTGTGCCAAGCACCAGGCTGGCCTGTGCCAAGCACCAGGCTGCCCTGTGCCAAGCACCAGGCTGGCCTGTGCCAAGCACCAGCTGGCCTGTGCCAAGCACCAGCTGGCCTGTGCCAAGCACCAGGCTGGCCTGTGCCAAGCACCAGGCTGGCCTGTGCCAAGCACCAGGCTGGCCTGTGCCAAGCACCAGGCTGGCCTGTGCCAAGCACCAGGCTGGCCTGTGCCAAGCACCAGGCTGGCCTGTGCCAAGCACCAGGCTGGCCTGTGCCAAGCACCAGGCTGGCCTGTGCCAAGCACCAGGCTGCCCAGTGCCAAGCACCAGGCTGGCCTGTGCCAAGCACCAGGCTGGCCTGTGCCAAGCACCAGCTGACCTGTATCAAGCACTCCGACAAATATATTAAACACGAGCAGCCCTTAATAATTATAATAATAATTACAAAAAAGTAATAGTAATTCGTTAGTCGGGGACAGGAAGCCTGTGTGTGTATATATACACACACCGTCAGCTTACTTAAATAACAGACATTTCGGACTCATAACTAAAAAAAAAAAGGTAAAACATGACTAAAACAGAAGCGAAAAAGAAACAGGGAAAAAGGAGGAAACCCCACCTCCATTTAAAACTTTGACCCAAATATCAGGGTAACAAGGTTATCGCGAATAACCGAACTCAATTACGGGATCACCATAGCCCGTGCTACATGGACATTTCGTTCTGAGTAGCTAAATCTAAAAACAACAACAACAACGGACTCATAACTATCATCAGTGCTAAAAAAAATATATACAACGCAAGATTAGCTAAAAACATTTATATATAAATCAGAATTATATACTCATTAAACGAGTTAAAACAACTAAAAATTAAAAACCTAAATTATAAAAACTCAACGACATACTTCAAGGAGGCCGACAATTAATGCTGATTAATGCATGAATAACTAACCCGTCCTCGACTCAAGTCCATTCTACATCCAGCGGTCGACCCCACAGACGCATTCATAAATTTTTACATGCTATTCATTCAAAACGGGAATTTTCTCAAATATAAATTAATATTATAATATATTACCATATTGTGCCTATATAGGCATAGGTTTGGTTAGGTGTTTAGGTTCTGTTGGCGATTATTAGTATTTGTAGTACGTGGGTGAAGCATTTATAGCGTTGTGATTCGAACAAAATTCGTCAGTGAAACACTTGTTCCGGATATGTTCGAACGTCAGCAGTTGTGAGTCGTGTGTAAACCGTTTTTCATTCATAAACAGGGGGTTTGGCGGGTGCATGGAATCACTTTTGGATCTTTGTTTGGAGGACGGGCTGAGCATTTACAGCGTTGTGGTTCGAACAAAAGTCGTCAGCGAAGCACTTGTTCCGGAATTGTTCGAACGAAATCAGTTGCGAGTCGTGTGTAAACCGTTTTTCATTCATAAACACCTGGCGGTTTGGCGGGTGCATGGAATCACTTTTGGGTCTCTGTTTGGATGACGATCACCACGACTCACAACGAATGACGTTTGACACTTTCGGAACAAGTGCTTCCCCTCCCTCCCCCCATATTCCGAGCCCCTCACCCCCCATCTCCCTTCCCACATATCGAGCCCCCCCCTTCCCTCCTCACATATCCACCCCCACCCCCCTCCCTCCCCATATATCGACCGTCACAGTTCGAACATTTAAACAGATAGACAGACAGCACCAGCTCCGGGTTCAACGGGTAGAGGATCTCTACGCTTTAAATACCTTCTAATGTATCATTGTTAATAAACACGAACAGAAAAGTAATTGTAGGTAAGTATAATCTAAGAGTATTCCGAACTTCCTTCCTAATATAATAACACACGGCGCCCAGATACCTGAATGTGACAACGTGAGCCTTAACGGACTGTGAAAGCCTCGTCCATAGGTATATAAATTTAGTTTTGTTTATTATTATTATTATTCATATTTTCTACCACAGACGTGGCCGCCACACATTTACAATGCTAACCAGCATATATACATTTTCTTCTGTCCTCCATGGACAGGGTGAGAGATTTGTCAAACATATAGGGATTTATTGGCCAATCAACCACAGAAGGTGATTGTAGTGCTTTTAAAAATGCTAGGCTAAGCTACATAGTATTTAAGAATCTAGGAATACTATAAAATATTTTCTTGGGAATCGCATTTGAAGCGAAAAATGCATGCAAACACTTAACTTCAGTATCTTAATAATATATTATTCGAACACAGATTAAAAGCTCCCATCCGTCCCATCCCAAATCCTTATCCTGATCCCTTCCAAGTGCTATATAGTCGTACGGACTTGGCCTTAAAATAAAGTTGTGATTGCATTCAGTTGATCTACTTGTGGACAAAAACTAAAGTACTGTGAACCCAATCCTGTGAATGTGGGTTTACGGTACACTAACAAATCGACTGCGTGTTAGTAACTCTTCACTCAAGGGAAGATAATTACGAATTCTCCTAAATTTCGTAATTAACTGTCAAGTTTGATTGTTTAGAACTTGAAATACGAAGCAAACTTCTCAATTAGATGTGAACGATCATTAAAGATAACGAAGAAGTCGTCCACAAACGGATGATAAACAATAACCTTGAAATCTGCACAACTATCCATTTTTTTCCGAAATCACATAAAAAAAATATTAACATAAGCCCAATGCAGACATTACAACCACGTCCAGTCGTGTAGTAATGTAAACAGCAGTGCTAATGTGTTAACAGTTTACCATCAAAAGAAAAAAACTGGTAAACAGTGTAATATCTCCCCTACTCTCTCTCACTCCCCCCACTCGGATAACTGTATATTCCTGTCTCGCTGACCAGTTGAGGACAAAAACTGGACGAACCGGTGTGATTCTTGGACCCAACCTGACTGGCCAGTCCTGCTTCACCTTAGTCATGCTGGGGGAGGGGTCACACATGCTGGGGGAGGGTCACACATGCTGGGGGAGGGTCACACATGCTGGGGGGAGCGTCACACATGCTGGGGGAGGGTCACATGCTGGGGGAGCGTCACACATGCTGGGGGAGGGTCACACATGCTGGAGGAGGGGTCACACATGCTGGGGGAGGGTCACACATGCTGAGGGGAGCGTCACACATGCTGGGGGAGGGTCACACATGCTGGGGGAGGGTCACACATGCTGGGGGGGAGGGTCAACACATGCTGGGGGGAGGGTCACACATGCTGGGGGAGGGTCACACATGCTGGGGGAGCGTCACACATGCTGGGGGAGGGTCACACATGCTGGGGGAGCGTCACACATGCGGGGGGAGCGTCACACATGCTGGGGGAGGGTCACACATGCTGGAGGAGAGTCACACATGCTGGGGGAGGGTCACACATGCTGGGGGAGGGTCACACATGCTGGGGAAAGGGTCACACATGCTGGGGGAGGGTCACACATGCTGGGGGAGCGTCACACATGTTGGGGGAGGGTCACACATGCTGGGGGAGCGTCACACATGCTGGGGGAGCGTCACACATGCTGGGGGGAGGGTCACACATGCTGGGGGAGCGTCACACATGCTGGGGGAGCGTCACACATGCGGGGGGAGCGTCACACATGCTGGGGGAGGGTCACACATGCTTGGGAGGGTCACACATGCTGGGGGAAGGTCACACATGCTGAAGGAGGGTCACACATGCTGGGGGAGGGTCACACATGCTTGGGAGGGTCACACATGCTGGGGGAGCGTTACACATGCTGGGGGAGGGTCACACATGCTGGGGGAGGGTCACACATGCTGGGGGAGGGTCACACATGCTGGGGGAGGGTCACACATGCTGGGGGAGGGTCACACATGCTGGGGGAGCGTCACACATGCTGGGGGGAGGGTCACACATGCTGGGGGAGGGTCACACATGCTGGGGGAGGGTCACACATGCTGGGGGGAGGGTCACACATGATGGGGGAGGGTCACACATGCTGGGGGAGGGTCACACGTGCTGGGGGACACGGGGTCACACGTGCTGGGGGACACTGGGTCACACGTGCTGGGGGACACGGGGTCACACGTGCTGGGGGACACGGGGTCACACGTGCTGGGGAGAGGGTCACACATGCTGGGGGAGGGTCACACATGCTGGGGGAGGATCACACATGCTGGGGGGAGCGTCACACATGCTGGGGGAGGGTCACACATGCTAGGGGAGGATCTCACATGCTGGGGGAGCGTCACACATGCTGGGGGAGGGTCACACATGCTGGGGGAGGGTCACACATGCTGGGGGGAGCATCACACATGCTGGGGGAGGGTCACACATGCTGGGGGAGGGTCACACATGCTGGGGGAGGGTCACACATGCTGGGGGAGCGTCACACATGCTGGGGGAGCGTCACACATGCTGGGGGAGGGTCACACATGCTGGGGGAGGGTCACACATGCTGGGGGAGGGTCACACATGCTGGGGGAGGGTCA